AATCTTCCCACACGATTCCAAACACTCCCAAATTTGTCGTCAAACTTCCTACATGATTGAAAACATCCCTAAATTTATCAGCAACTTCTACCAATCTTCCCACATGATTTGAAACACTCCCAAATTTAACAGCAATCTTCCTATGTAATACAAAACACTTCCAAATTCGTCATTGACCTCTGCTAATCTTCCCACACGATTCCAAACACTCTCAAATTTGTCGTCAAACTTCCTACATGATTGAAAATATCCTTAAATTTATCAGCAACTTCTACCAATCTTCCGACATGATTTGAAACACTCCCAAATTTAACAGCAATCTTCCTATGTAATACAAAACACTTCCAAATTCGTCATTGACCTCTGCTAATCTTTCCACACGATTCCAAACACTCCCAAATTTGTCGTCAAACTTCCTACATGATTGAAAACATCCCTAAATTTATCAGCAACTTCTACCAATCTTCCCACATGATTTGAAACACTCCCAAATTTAACAGCAATCTTCCTATGTAATACAAAACACTTCCAAATTCGTCATTGACCTCTGCTAATCTTCCCACACGATTCCAAACACTCTCAAATTTGTCGTCAAACTTCCTACATGATTGAAAATATCCTTAAATTTATCAGCAACTTCTACCAATCTTCCGACATGATTTGAAACACTCCCAAATTTAACAGCAATCTTCCTATGTAATACAAAACACTTCCAAATTCGTCATTGACCTCTGCTAATCTTTCCACACGATTCCAAACACTCCCAAATTTGTCATCAAACTTCCTACATGATTGAAAACATCCCTAAATTTATCAGCAACTTCTACCAATCTTCCCACATGATTTGAAACACTTCCAAATTTAACAGCAATCTTCCCATGTAATACAAAACACTTTCAAATTTGTCATTGACCTCTGCTAATCTTTCCACACGATTCCAAACACTCCCAAATTTGTCATCAAACTTCCTACATGCTAGAAAACATCCCTAAATTTATCAGTAACTTCTACCAATCTTCCCACACGATTCAAAACACTCCAAATGTATTACCAACTTTCACCAGAAACCTCCACTCAAGACACTTGTCTTTAATCCTTCATTCCATCAACGACCTCAAACTGCCGCTTAAACATCCATTTCCATCCCTCGGTAATCACACTCCAAGCATCATCTCGCTGCTTCCAAGCCAAATCCTAGGATCAATGATACGATACAGTCTTAGACTCTACCAGCCTCTGCTCTGGTCATCTGAAAACACTCGCCTTGCTTTTCCCTTAACCTAGAGTCGTTGCTTTCGCGGAACCTCCCTAGGGTCAGTCAGTCCAATCCCAGAACTGAGATCGAACAGTTAAGCCACATCCGTTTATTCATAAACCACATATACTCATACCGTTTCATACCAGTTTTTATCACTGCACACGAGGTTCCCCATCATCTACATAGCGTGGACTCTTCAATAGTATCCTTACTAACACCAAAGACACTCTGCAACCACTCTAAACTTCATCCAACGATACGAGTAAAAAGAACTGATCGGTACTAAAGTTAACCAGCCACTGCTCAAGATCGTATTGTAGGATACCAAAGGAAATCGCGTAATGGCTATTGCCAACAAAAACAAATTGTAAACCGATCGATATCTTCTAGAAGCAAATGGAAAAGTTATTCTATACAACAAAATTGAGTTGCGTGACTCCCCTACGGGGAGGTGAAGCGTAGGTTAAGGAAAGCATAAAAGCGTGGTCCTTGACAACCAAAACAGTGTTCTTAGAAATAGGTTGTGACCAGCACAAGCGTGAGTCGCTTGGTGTTGGAAAGAGAGTTTTAAAAGAGTGCGTCTTTGTCTGTTTTCGTTTCGTTATCTTGGTGTTCTTTCCTTAAGTTAAATCAGTTTACGAGTTTTGAGTTTGTGTTATCGTGTTCTTGTTCTTTATTTTCGGTGTCTCGAGACCAGTTTCGCCATCCTACAGTATGTTTATCGTTCCTTCATCGACAGCCTTCGGAAGCAAGCCCTAATCCATCTGTATACATCCTCTGAACCCCTAATATTCGTCAATCCATCCTATCCTACTCACTCGTCGGTCACGTACAGTTGTCTCATCTGCGGTCTCGTCTCGTCTCGGACAGACTCTAGACTGGTCTCTTCTTCCGTTCTTCATCCGCTAGACCGAGTCGCAGAACAGGACCAGGAGCTGCGAATGCAGGGTGGCGCGGACGTGGATCGCGACAGAGCGAAAACCGCACGTGCTTCGCGGTCGGACGCAATTCGTGCACGGGTAACGAGCGTGCCGCGTTTCGCGGTTTCGGTTTACTGCATAATTGTGCGTCGGCCGCGCGGCCGGCTGTAACGTTGATTCCTTTATCGGCGACGATATTGCCAATTACCGTATCGCAGGGCTGACCGCGTTTACGCGCTCAGATAGCCCTGTTTAACGCGGGGAAACGCGCGATTAACACTGCGGCCCGCCGTTTATAACGCGCCGGAGTGTGCCGTGCGCGACGTGGAACACGTGTTCCATGAGAACCGGCCCTTTATTCCACATCTCCCTTTCTCCTCGACCCGTGTGTCTTTGCTTCTCCGGTTCGAGATCGTTATGCTTTTGGACGATCCATATATTCTTGCCTTTCTTAGATTTTCAAGAGTGTAGAAAGCGTAGACTTGACTGAAGATTGGCAGAGTTTTGCGAGAGATTAGCATGTTTGTAGATTATGCGAAATGGCAAACGTAACAGGGAGAAAATTCCAAAGTTATATCGATAAAATTAGAAAATAATTCTACGATATGCTTATTCGAGTTGCGAGTCGCGGTGGCGCTAGTGAGTTACGCGGAAGATCGCTTATTCGTGGAGGGGTCGAAGATCCTTGGAATTTGGTGAGGTAGTATATTGATTTACATTATACACTGTGATTTAATTCTAGAGACATATGCACTAGAAAAGTATTTAATTTTAATAAAGGTACGTAATTATTAAGCATGACGATGGCAGCGTGACAGGATTTTGGCGGATGATCGATCAAAGAGCGTTAAAGATTTGTGTATTAAACGACTGATCCTCTAGCACGTCGTTCCCAGTCGTAAAAGCTTCTTTTTAACAGGGAATCAAATGGAACAACCACGGATTAATTCGTTTTAAACCCCTCGCAAGTTCCGATATCACGACTGTTTTCAGATATAAATTTAACGACGAGCGAGCGGAATTCCGGGCAGGATTGAAATATTGGCAAAACTTCGTTCAACCCTGATTAAACATTGCTGGATAAAAAGGATTCGAGATGAAAATGAAGGTGGAGAGGAAATAGATTCTGAGGTCGACCAACCATCGTTACAATTCATACACTCACGAGTGGAATTTTTATGATCTTCGATCCATTAGCTATATTAAATTAAATCGCAATAATCGATTTTATTCCAACCCAATCACCAGAATTTAAAAATGCGTCTGTGAAAACGCGGGAATTCCGAAATAAATGAATTATCGGGTTCGAAATTATGACATGGATAAATTACTTCAGCTCTGATCAGATATATCAAGATCATGATTGGAAATCACAGAGTGAGGATTAGGGAGTTATGACAATTTTTTCGGCCTTCGATTTTACACTTTGAAAGCTCCACTTCAGCGTCACTATAAATTAAATGATAATAAACTTGGTTAATTAATAATTACTTCCTTCTAATCTTTCTGATATCCAACTTCCTCAACCACGATTACGTTGTACGAACTCAACAACCCTCGAAGAATTACCAAATTCGAAATATCCAGGAACTAAACTCGGATACCGAATCCATCGACCGATCTTGGTTAACAGGTTGAACATACCATAACCCTATTATCCGGGCAATCTCAGGAAATCTCAGCCAAAAATCTAGAACCCTGTACCGTGCCAAGTCCCTGGGCACGTTTCACCCACCCTCGATCCCGAATTATACATCGAAATGCCACCATGATGGCGATTTTGCCGATCCTAATTCCAGCGATCAACCAACGATTCAATAATGAGAACCGAAACCAAGGGACGGATTCAAAGAGACACAGTTCCAAAGAGGTATGGTATCAACGCGATATAGTTTCAAAGAAGTACCAAAGAGATACGGTTCCATTGGATGATTTCAAAGGAGGGTTCCAACGAAGTATAGTTTCAAAGGATAGTGTCAAAAAACGGTTCCAAAGAGGTACAATTCCAAAAAGACACGGTTCTACAGAGACGTGTTTCTAAGCAGGTACGGTTCCAAAGAGGTGCGATGCTAAACAGGTACAATTTCGAAGAGGTACGATACTAAACAGGTACAGTTCCAAAGAGGTACTATGCTAAATAGGTACAGTGCCAACGAGATAGGGTTCTAAATAGATACAGTTCCAAAGACATACGGTTCTAAAGAGAGGTGTTTCTAAACAGGCACAGTTCCAAAGAGGTACTATGCTAATAAATAGGTACTGTTCCAAAGAGGTACAATGCCAAACAGGTACAACTGCAAAGAGGTACGACGCTAAATAGGTACAGTGCCAACGAGATACGGTTCTAAATAGGTACAGATCCAGAGATAGGCTTGTAAAGAGGCGTGTTTCTAGACAGGTACGGTTCCAAAGAGGTACCCGATGCCAACTGGAGAGCTGGCCAGTGGAAAAGCGTACGAAAGAAGAGTGTGACGCGATGAGAATCCTGGTCAAGCTCTGGCTGGCTGTCGCGTTTTCGCGGTTTTTTCCCTCGTGACAAGGGCTGCGAGGAGATCGGCCGCCGAAATAACAGCATAACGTCGGGGCAAGGGTAGACTACCGGCAGACAGCGACTATGGGGGCGGTGACCGCCCGCCAACGCGAATCAATACCCGCAGGAACAGGAACCACCGACCTAGCGAGAGAGACAGCCATCGAGGGAGACAGAGGAAGCAAAGCGAGAGAGAGAGAGAGGACCGCAGAGAGAGGAGGGTAGGTCCCAGAGGCAGTGGCAGAGAGAACCAGAGAGGGGAAGGAAAAGCGAGCAGTATCAAGAGAGGAGCAAGAGGCGGCGGTGGAGGAGGTGGAGGCGGAGAATGACGGGCGGAGAGGAACAGGCCTGGCACACCGACGCACCCAGGGTGCAAACGGCGCGGAGCAAAGTGCCGATACCTGTGTCTCTACCTTCCGTCATTCCTTCTGCGGGTGCGCTGTCACTGTTTTTCACCCGTCCAGATTCGACACAGAACTTCAAAGGGAACGGCTGTTTCTGCTATGTGTGTAGATGACGAGAGACCGGGGTTCAGAGTACCTTGGGGTGGACTTTGGAATTTTCCGAAGAACTAGGGAAGCCTCCACGAGGGTCTGAGTTCTTCTGACAGGAGACGATGCTTTTTAGGGGTCCTGGATGATCAGTTTGGTAGATTCGTATGAAGATTGTTAAGGGACTGGGTCTCTGTGAGAGATAACCGAAGGAAGGAAGGTCTGGCTGAAATCCTGTGTCGCGTTGTCGAGGTAATCAAACGTGTCAGCAACGATCAAGAAGCTATCTCGTAGATAAGATCACGAAGTACCTGTGGGAGAAATTTTTTAGGCCGACGTGGGAGGTCTGTCTATATCTGGGTCTACGAGTACGTGCAGCCTAGTAGGCTCTCCCAGAACCCAGAAAGGATCAGAAAGTGGACTCAGGTTCCGAAGCATCGATGATCCACATGATCAACCGCAAATTATCCACGCTGTTAATATCCAGTGCAAGATTCAGCACTTCAATCAAGCACTTGGTCAATACTCTGTGAAAAATCTCAAAGAGCCGTAAATCCTATGTCTCGGAGTATCAATAACCGATTCAATCCTCCACCAATTCTTCACGCCGTCTCTCCATCGAAACAACAGCAAGATCAAATTATTCGAGCATATTCGACGAGAGAAAGAAAGAAATATCCAATCAAGAAGCAGAGAGAACCATAAATTGCCTCCTCCGTGCCAATCTAATCATCCGCAAATTATCCGCACTATTCCTTACACGAAAGAACAGTGTTTACTTAACCCTCGATGAGTATCAGGGGAAAATAACGCGGGAGGAAAAAGGAAGAAAGAAGCTACGAGCTCACGTACTGCGCGTTCGAGAAAAGAAGGCACAGCGTGTTTACATCCTAACTGTTGCTTATCTCCGCTGGCATTCCCTTGATCACAGGCAGTGACTGCTACTGGTCGAAAATCGTGACAAAGATCATCGGTCCCTGTCAAACACACTGTGCCTTCTTTCCTCGAACGCGCAGTAGGGAATTATTTTCGGTAAATAACGGTCACTGCGTATGATCAAGGGAGTATCCGCGGAGTTAATCAGCCGTGAGGATTTAACTAGGTTGTAGCTGGTTTGGTTTTGGTAAATATGCGAAAGATTTCCGTCTTGACACCTTCCATGTGACCGCAGCGTCAAAGTATTGTCGTCACGTGAGAGGTGATGCACGACCGATAAGGGTTAAACACGCCGTGCCTTCGTTTCTCGAACGCGCTGTACACGGAACGGCACCCAAACAGGCTCGAAGACGTTACACTTAGGAAGACCGGTAAACGCCCACTTTTAACCGTGTCCCTCACGATCGTGGACAGTAATGGAGCGGTAAATTTTCGCGGCTTGCTCCCCGCCTGTTCAGGGAACGCGTTCTCCCTCCGGGAGAGAGCAGATTGAATTCAGGGTTGAACGGGACGGCCTTGGACGGTAGCCGATAACCGAGCGAGTCGCGGATGAGCTCGTCACGCCACAGACGCCCGGGGTTTAACACGCGTACTTTTGCACATGGTTCATCCTCACACGTGTTCGCACGTGTTGCCAGCAGAAAACAGAGTCGGTGCACGCTCGGACAGACTGGTTTGCCCAGTAACCTCGCGGGCCGGCCAAAGAGGATCGGCAGAGGATGCACGCGCTCGAAACGAACGCGGAGAACCGCATTAGACGTTTCAACCTACTCCTCGCTCGACTTTCCTCTTCCTCTCGGGCTTTCGTTGAAAGCGACAGTCCGGATCACGGTCGCGCAGCAAGATCCTGGTTTGAGACGCTGCGAGCCGCGGGGTTGGGATCTTTGGTGTTCCGTGGTTTGGGTGTGGGTGGATTCCAGGATTCGCAGATCGTGTTTTAATTCTCTTTTCTTTTCCATGTCAGTCTTTGTGGTATATACCAAGTGGTATATCTTTTAGTGCAGTGTAGCTGAGCAAGGATCTTTGGTATTTCGTAGATTTGGATTTGAGAGGAACCGATGTCAATGACGTTCGATTAGTCTTTGGATTTATGTAAAATTGGACGAATTTTAATTCCTGTCTTTAATTCTTTTTTATTTTTCATGTCAATCCTTTTGGTATCCCCATAGCTAACTTGCGTTCCTTTGATGCTGCAGTCCATTACAGCTGAGCAAGGATCTTTGGTACTTCGTAGATTTTGGTTTGAGTTTGAGTGGAACCGATGTCGATGACGTTTGATTAGTCTTTGGATTTATGTAAACTTAATTAGTCAGAGATTTGGAGAGTAGGATCGAAGGATTTTAAGTTCCCCTTTTGAATTCTTTTCTACTTTTTGTCCCTGTTCTTATGGTCCAACATCAACTGATAGCCTGCGTTCTTTGGTGGAGCGCAATCCGATGCCAGGCAGCGAGAGAATAACAAGCGTATTCCCTTGGAGGGCGAAGACAAATTGAAGTAATGAACCGCAATGGTCTAGGTCAAGGTCCTTGGCCTGGCTTTAGCATCGGCATACACGAAATACGCCAAGGGGCCACACCGATAGGGCACTGTTTATTCCCTCAAGTGTGCTACGTGTTACATGCCGATATACTGTGCCAGATTACGAGAGAGGAGTGGCTAAGCAGGAAGGGATCGATGCTATCCTTGGGGACCAAGACGCCTGTAATCTCATCGAGGATTTTCAACTCCATTTGAGACCCCGCCAGACAATCGGACAACAGCCCTGTCACGCGAAGTGGTATGCGGCTAATTTCTCCTACGATCGATATATCCCACGGAATATTTCGCAATTCGTGATCCAATCGTGAGAATCAGAAACAAATTTCCTAAAGCTTCGAATTCTATCCGAACCTTCGAAATTCTTTTCTCGAGATCTCCAATCCTCCGAGTCGGAGTTCCCTTTGAGAAGAGATACGAAATTGGCGAACAACGTATCGACACGTTATATAATAACGTATTCGATATACTCTTCGCAGCTACACCCCACGAAGAAGAAAATATATTGGATCCAGAAACATTTCGAATGTCTGTATTTCCAAACGGAAATCTGGGATCCGATATTTTCCTGTGGTTTTATGCTCGAACTGCTATTTCGTTTGACCACGGTTAACGAATATTTACGCGAAAAGTTCCTCGAGTATGAAAAATTTCGACACTCTCGACATCCCGCGAAGATTCGAGGCTTGGAGAAACAAATCGAAGCCCTGCCGAAATAATAAACATCGCAGTGTGCAATATTTTCCCTAGATCCGCTGCATTCAAAAGTCGCTTCACGGGAAGACCGTAATTCCTTCCTTTATATTCTTTTCTACGAATAAATTCCTCCAACGAAACATTTACATTTTACGCGATATTACGTGCCATAAATAATACAAAGAGACGAGGGCAGGGGGATACGCGTCTGACGCGATATTCGAAACAGACATCGCCATTTTGACGGGTCTCGTAACGTCGAGAAGGAAAGCCAGACTCACCATAGAAACGACAGGAGGCGGAGGATTTCCGTTCCTAAGTGCCCCGGTTTGCTGGTTCGCCGCGGGATTCAGATTGTCCTTGGATTGCTGCATGGGATCCGCCTGATGAAGCGTTTGTTGCGTTTGCTGTTGCGGTTGTTGCTGGTGCTGCTGCAGCCCGCCTATTCCAGCCTGAGGACTGCCTAAGCCTGCCGGCGCGCTGTCCGGTGTGCTCACTTGTCGGGCGATCTTCCGATAACTCTGCAATCAGAAAATCAACCTTTCGTCAGGCCAAGTCAGGCAAGTGGAAATGTGTGTCAAGGATTTTTATCAATGCTAGAGCAGTATTAACTATTAAACGCGTTTTTCCAGCTTCCGCGAGCGTTGCCGGATAGGTACTCGAGGAACCAAGTGTCACAGAGCTGATCCTGTCACTTTTGCTATATCTTCGTCACGGTTCTAACTTGGAAATTGGACTTTTGTCAGTTCGAGGTTTGGATCGGGAATTTTAACCTTCGTCGGTCGTAAGTCACCTGACAGCCACGTGACAACAGTACTCTTTTTGCTGCGTGACGTGACAGCTGACAGGGCAGAAATTTTTCGAATATCTATCGAAGTCAGGTACAACCTAGTGAGAGTTATAAAACCTATAAAAGGCTAGCATCCGATAAAGGTTAAGTCTAAGCAGGGTTTCTTTGGAAGAGATCTAAGTCTCTGTCAAGTCTCTGTCAAGACTTCTGAAGGATTCAAGTGACACGTCTGGTAGTTGTCAAAGATATTCCATTTCAATCTTGCCATCATACTACTCATCAGAAGTTTTCATCAGAATATACGAAATTGCAGAGAACCAGGGACCACGCATGAACTCTGAAGAACATCGGTCAGCTGTCACGTATAACTCAAAGCTAACGCAACCAGAGACCAAAAACATCTATCCTCGAGAATAAAGACACGGAGTAAAGTGGAATAGTTACAAGCCAGCCGAGGACCATCCACTCACAGCGTGTACATACTCGTATCTACATTCTCCAAGCACGATTTGCGTCCAGTCGGTTACGTGATTTTCAAGCACGCTGCATCGCGACGAGCTACAACGAGCTACAAGGAGCTACAAGCTGGGTAAAGTACGGCTCGGGAAGATGGGGATCCGTAGGAGCGATGGGTACACGGAAAGAATCGCAGAAGGGGGTAGAATTTACGGGACAGAAAGGAGCAACGGCGCGTCTCGCGTCCAATTATCCAATAACTTTCATCCACGGAGGACGCGGCGAGGGTGGCTGAACGACACGCCGGTTCCTGGTCCCTCATCCGGGGCAAAGTGTTTTTCTTCTCTTCTGGATCACCCACGCGCGAGCGACACTGGACGGAGAGAGGAGAGGTGGCGTCGCTTTAGAAACGGCGAGGAAGGAAGGAAGGCAAGGCAGCAAGGCAGGATGGTGTGCGGCACGGTAGCCGGTCGTACGCCGGTGTGACCCTAATGCTAAAAATACCAAGGTGGCCTAAGTAGGCCGAGCCGGCTGAAACGGTTTCCATAGTTCAACAAGCGCCGCTGGCCGACAGCTATAACCGGCCACCCTGCCTCCTCCGGCGTCCTCCGCCTCCGTCATGCAAACTTGATCAATTATTACGACGTCCCTCGAGGTATCACCATCCCTCCTAGGCGTTCTGGGTACGCCGCTGGATGAAAATCTTCGACGGAACCGCGATGCTGTTGGCAGCAAGCGGGAATGTCGCTGTTCGTTTGAGATTAGGAATTTAGATGGGCTGGTGAATGGCTGGGATCAGGGTGACCTATTAACGAATTGGTGGAGGTTATGGTTAGGTTATGAATTAGATTGCGAGCCGAAATTTAAGCGGTGATTGCAGGGAGAGGATGATATTTGAATTGACAGGAAAGGAATTTTTATTCACAGTATATTGTTTATTGCGAGTATGCTGATATGTTGAATACCTGCTTTTTGAGGTTAGGAATTTGATTAAACGAATGGAGGATAATTTTTTAACGAGTTGGTAGAGATTATGGTTATGTTATGAATTAAATTGAGAGTGGAAATTTGAATTGAGACTATAGATGATTTAAATTGACAGGAAAGGAATATTTATTGACAGTATATTTAAGTGGTGAATGTAGGGGAAGAATGATATTCGAATTGACAGGAAAGGAATTTTATTGACAGTATATTTAAGTGGTGAATGTAGGGGAAGAATGATATTCGAATTGACAGGAAAGGAATTTTATTGACAGTATATTGTTTATTAATAGTATGATATGTTGAATACGTGTTTTCTGAGGTTAGGAATTTGATTAAACGAATGGATGGGATTAGGATAATTTATTAACGAATTGGTAGAGGTTATGGTTAGGTTATGAATTAAATTGGGAACGAAAATTCTAGTGGTGAATGTAGGGGAAGAATGATATTTGAATTGACAGTGAAGGAATTTTTATCGATATTATTTACTTTGATTTATTTTGATTTAGTTTCAATTTTGTTTATTTCTATTTAGTTGATACGTTCTGAGGACGAGAATTCCGTTAAACGAATGGATGGGATCAGGATAATTTATTAACGAGTTGGTAGAGGTTATGGTTACGTTATGAATTAAATTGGGAGCTGAAATTTGAATGGAGACCATAGAGGAAGAACGTGATTCGAATTAACAGGGAAGGGATTTTTAAATGTTATTGAATATACTTTATCGATATTATATATTTCGGTTTCGATTCAATTTATTTTCATTTCAACGTCGATGTTGGATACGTGTGATTTCCGAGCTTAGGAGTTTAGTTAGATGAATAAATGGAATTAGTGTGACCTATTAACGAATTGGTAAATGTCGGTAATGAATTAATAGCGTTACTTAAGAGATTAATTAGCGAGTATAAATGTAATTGGGAATTCCGTAGAAAGAATGTGATAAATAATTCAAACGAACATGGATAAAACATTAAAAATTTTATCGACCATCTTCTATTTCGGTTCCTATATCAAACACGTGTTTCTCATCATTCTCGAATACTTCCGAATTAATTAGCATCCAAGAAATTTAACCAATTTCTCTTTACATTAAAACCATCAAAATTCTATTAATACAGAAATTTCCATACAAATTTGTGTCCCATAGAATCATCACACGGTAATACGAAGACCGTAAAATCGATAGCAATGGACTCATTATCCGTCTACCGTTCGACCTTCAATTGTTTACAGCTTCGTACACATCACATGTCATGATTCACGATAAATATCCCATTCCAAGAAACTCCACTTCGAATTCCAACTACAACCCGAATCTCTTCAAATTTCCTTAAATCATTCCCGAAATCTATTAACACAATCCCATCTGGTTGCGACGAAAAACCTAACCTACAACCCACTCGAATCCCATCCACCAGCACGAAACTCATTTAACACCATTCGCATTACGCTTACATTAATTATACCCATACTCGTATCACTTACAAGGTACAAAAATACCAAGCTCGTAAAGTCCACGATCGTCGGACAGCCTTGAACAGTCAATCGACTACGCTCGAGGCCAGGCTGTGCCGAACCAGCAACTCCATTTTCAAACACCCTGTGTACCCTGAGCATAAACGACCATAACTCGAATGTCATTAACAACCACAACAAGTGTGCCCAAGTGTTCTTCTCACTATCGGGAACATTCATTGCCCCGTTTCCACGATTTCCACGATTTTTACAGCGCTGATCCTGCAAAGGGACCTGGACCACGGGTACCGCGAGGTCCACTGGGCATTTGCTCGCGCAAAGGGAAAAGACTTTCGTAATCCGATCGGCGACGATGTTACAGAATATTACTGATTGTATCGGACGGTGAATTTATTGGGTACGCCGCGCGGCTGGAAATTTATGCGACGGAATTCAATTTACATTTATGACAGGCCGGCCGCGTCGCGGTTGCCGCAACCTGCGGCCACACAGCGAATAAACAAGCAGCTCTTTATAATCTCGGCCGTGTAGTTGCTCGTCAACCTGAAACTGCGACCCGGCCATCTCGTAGAAATAATTCACACCTATCGGCCGGGATGAACTCCCGGTTCTTTCGCGAAACAGGCAGGCCCCGAGGGAGAACAGAGCCTTATCGTGGGCAACTTTGTTTCGTAATTGCGTTGATGGAGCATGATGACAGGTTGGACGGATTTATGGCCGATTCGAATTGAACTTGGGAGCTTTCGTTGATCGACACACTGGTAGACAAGCAGTCGAAGATGATGCTCAGGAGATGACGAGGATAAAGTCTGTTGGGTGGTCCGCGAGGGTTTCAGCGTTTTGTGGAATCGATTCCGATTTTTAAAACGATCGGAAATTGATCGCTACTGGCGAATAATAATTTTCTCGTCGCTTTTATTTTTTATAGGCGTTTTGAAGTAACATGGAGATGTTGGATTCTACGAGGATTATACGCGATGACCATTTCACGATTACATTGCAGAATAGAAGTTTTAATTTCTGGGTATTTTAAATCATTTTTAAATAAGTTGGTGATATGTATATTTTATATATTTTAATATTAATATATTAAATATTGGGACAGATATTTTAACCTCCAAAATTTTTTAAGTGTCTTTAAATAATATTAAAGTATCGGATTTCCTAAAAATCGCAAAGGATATTGCGTTAAAATGGCTGCATCGACTGAGATGTTCGAGCATTTTTATTTTCCGAATTTTTGAACAATTTTTAAGGCACACCTAAATATCACGTTTCCTAAAAATCACAAAGAACGTTGCTCCGAGATGAAGATCTTACGACTGTCTCGACCTTCTGGTCGTATTTCACAGCTGCGCTCCACCTCCCACCTCGCAGCAACCAAGGGTAGCGAGCAAAATAAATTGCACCATCGTCTTTCAATCGTTTCATTCTACTACGATGCGGAAAACATGGTCTTAACTCCTTTGACCTACAGGAATTTTATTCCCGACTCTTCCCTTATCAACAAAATTGTGGGTACTCTCAATGACCGGTATTAAGCTTAACAATGTCACTATAGGTTTTGCTTCGATCCCTGATAGGTAAACAATCATATCCACGGAATCATCGATACCCTTAACACACTCTTAATAAATTTCCAAGTGAGTCCAAAAACATTTATTCCATACGTATAATATTAAATTCGACATTAAATCTTGACACACGATCGATTAAATAACCGGTGAATAATTAATTGTTCGTATAAACGTTAAAATCAAGTAATTGAAGCGAAAACTTAATAAATTAGGTTAAGTGAGTTGAGTG